TCTCTCTCTCTCTCTCTCTCTCTCCCTTCCTCTATTTCCCCAACTATCAACTCTTGCTATAGGGTTTTATATGATTTATACTAAATAATTTCGTGTTGATTTCTTAAACTGGTTTGATTTCTAGAGCTTTATGGGTTTGATCTAGTAAATGGGTTTGATTTTACTGGTAAAATTTACTTTCGCCCTCTTTTTCCTTTCTCTCTCATTAGTTTCAAAGCCCTAATCCATTGATTGTGAATGTATTTGCATGTATGGCTACTCATTGATTGTGTATGTATTCTCATGTGTTCTGATTGTTTGAATTGAAATTTGATTCTATGATTGCAATAGTAAAAAATTTATTGGCTTCCATTTGATGATTATTTCTCAAATTTTGGGCAATACCCCTCATTTTGCTAGTTTTCAGGAGGCTTCTCAGTCTCACTCCATGGTTTTGCTACATTTGTTTTCTTAGATCTTGTGTAGCCTTGGATTTGGTGTTACAGTAATAGTGTAATTCTCTGAGATATATATCTGGTTTTTCTCAAGCTAATATCTTTGTTTATTGACCTACTTAAGATCTATATATTAAACATATAAGGAAGTCTAACTTATTAAGTCCTCCTATTCACACTCTCCTTTTACAGAACCCTATAAAATAATCTTGCATGTCCAGGGAGGTTTTACTTTTGGGCTTAAAAATTCAAAATGGCAACAAAGGAAGAATTGTTTTAAGACTGGGAAATATCTTTACGAAATGAATTTTTCTTAGTGAATTCACTCTCTCTCTCTCTCTCTGTGATTTAGTTTGATTAGATGTATGAATGTAGTAGTGTATATGCTTGTGTGTTTATAAGATTTGATTGTTTGAAGTTGTTTTATGGATTGTTGTCTTGTTATGTAAAAGTTTGATCTTTTTGACGCGTCATAATCAGAACTTTAACGGGTTATATCATGTTTGTTTTTTAGCTACTTTCAAGCCTTTTGCATAGTTTAGGATTATGATTGGATGGATTAGAAATTATTGGAACAATAAGATCCAGATCTAACATTTTAGTATGAGGTCGGTTTTTCTTGTTTCTTTTTTTACGAACTGTATCTTTGGGAGGAAAAAAAAAACTCAAATCATTGAGTTTTTAAGAATTAATAATTAAATTCATAAACTTTTTCACTAATCTGTAAGCAGAGTCCTTCTAGGATTCATACTCCTGAAAGATAATGCTTATCCTTCAACACCCCCCTCATTGCTTAAACCAAGTGAGATGGTTTTATCATGGCCGAACTCCAATATAACCGAAGTAAACATGACTATGCATAGCCGCAGAGTAAGCCGAACTAGCTCTTCCTTCTACTGCTCTTACGTCGACTTCTCATGCACAACCCATGGCGTGGTTAGACCGAACTAATATGTCATGGCCGGTGTAACTCTAGGACCGGTCTAACTCCAAAGTACTGTTTGACCGACCTAACTTCGATCTTCTGTCGGACCGGACTAGCTTCACGGCCTTAGGACCGGACTAACTTCAAAATATCCATACGACCGGAGTAACTTACATGGCCATTTTACTCGGTCCTTTGTACTGTGGCTCATAACGGCCCATTACCCAGTTCGGCCAAATTTTCACATAAATTACCCTCTCAATATATATACTAGCGGTTGCCACACGCGATGCGTGTGCAATTCAAATAAATAGAAATAAAATAAAACATTTATCATATATTGTGTTTTAGTTAAGTGGTAAGAGTCTTATTCATTTAACATAAGTCTAATGTTCAAATCCCCTCCTCTCATCTATCTAATTTAATTTTTTTTTTAATTTCAAATAAAAAAGTAGACACGTGGCAGCATAAGAAACAAATGTTTCAAGACATCATAAGGGGTGTTCACTTTATAATAATATTAGCGGGTTTCAAGACACCATAAGGGGTGTTCACTTTATAATAGTATTAGCAGTTGCCACACGCGATGAGTGTACAATTCTGATAAATATAAATAAAATAAAATATTTATCATATATTGTGTGCTAGTTAAATGGTAAGAGTCTTATTCATTTGACATAAGTTTAAAGTTCAAATCCTCTCATCTAATGTATCTAATTTTTTTTTATTTCAAATAAAAAAATGGACACGTGATAGTATAAGAAACAAAGGTTTCAAGACACCATAAAGGGTGTTCACTTTATAATAGTATATTTATTTCAAATAAAAAAGTAGACACGCGACAGTATAAGAAACAAAGGTTTCAAGATATCATAAAAGATGTTTACTTTATAATAGTATAGATAGATAAATATTTATAATAGTATATTTATTTCAAATAAAAAAGTAAACATGTGACAGTATAAGAAATAAATATTTCAAAATATTATAAATAATGTTCACTTTATAATAACATAGATAGATAGATAGATAAATAGATAGATAGATAGATATTTAAAAAATTAAAACGTGAACTAAAATAACGAAAATGGATTTGGAATTGAAGAAGAAAACGGAAACAATCTGAAACCGTCCATTCCTTTCGTAATCGTACGGCCTTGAATCCCTCATTTTTTTTTTTGGTTCGAACATTCTGGAACACAGAGCCCAACGCAGACAGCGTCCTATAAATTCCAACTTATTTCCTTCCACCTTACCCAACAATTCGTGAACCCTAGTTTACGTTACCATACTCTCTCTCTTCCCCTTTCTCTCTCATCTTCCAGTCAATCCAGAGCAGCAGCAGCAGCAGCAGCAGCAATGGCGGGAAAGGGAGAGGGACCAGCGATCGGAATCGATCTGGGCACCACATACTCATGCGTCGGAGTTTGGCAACACGATCGAGTCGAGATCATCGCCAACGACCAAGGAAACCGTACCACCCCTTCCTATGTAGCCTTCACCGACACCGAGCGTCTCATAGGGGATGCTGCCAAGAACCAGGTCGCCATGAACCCCATCAACACTGTCTTCGGTAACTCTCTCTCTCTCTCTCTCTCTCTCTCTGATTCAGTTTGATTAGGTGTATGAATGTAGTAGTGTATATGCTTGTGTGTTTATAAGATTTGATTGTTTTAAGTTGTTTTATGGATTGTTGTCTTGTTATGTAAAAGTTTGATCTTTTTGACGCGTCATAATCAGAACTTTAACGGGTTATATCATGTTTGTTTTTTAGCTACTTTCAAGCCTTTTGCATAGTTTAGGATTATGATTGGATGGATTAGAAATTATTGGAACAATAAGATCCAGATCTAACATTTTAGTATGAGGTCGGTTTTTCTTGTTTCTTTTTTTACGAACTGTATCTTTGGGAGGAAAAAAAAAACTCAAATCATTGAGTTTTTAAGAATTAATAATTAAATTCATAAACTTTTTCACTAATCTGTAAATATTTTATAAAAATCCCACTGATGTGTAATTTCCCCTAATTTATTTGTGAAGTACGTAACTTTTGTTTTGGTTGTCTTTTTATGGTAATTACATCTGCCTAGATATACAGGGTACTCAATAGTGTGTTGATATTTGTTTTAATCTTTGTAACAAGCAACCTTATTGGGGGATTGAATTGGATCGGGGCAGAATTGTTGTATGTGGGCTTTGATTTCAATTCATTTTGGGTGGAATTAGTTATTGGTCCTTTTCCATTATTGTCTTTTTAACATAATTGATGATTGAAAAAATTTCGAAGACCGTCACACTATGGGTGATTGATTGTTTGCAATAAGTTTTTGCCTTGAAAAACTCCCCCTTTCTCTCTGTTGCACTTCTTTTTACATACATAAAATTATTCTTAGCCCCATCTCCTGTTCTTACTCAAAAATGAATTTGAGTGAAAACTTTATTTGACATGAAACAATCCAATGAACAATCTCGTATTTCAGCACAAGGTTGAGTAAAAGCTTCAGTAATGGTAAAGTCTTCAAATTTGATTCTTCCTTTATTTGGATTAAAAATAATTGAGTGAAACTCAATTTGATATAAGTTTGAGGCAAAGGAGTGGAGAAGTTTTTGACTATTTTTACCCAAATTTAAATTTGATATAGGTTTGAGTTGATGATTGGAGTTGCTTTAGTACACCCTTACTCTTTTCATTTTGATGTCTTTTAGATTTTTAAAATACATATTATCTTTTGCTAATAGGTCATTCTAGTGTAAATAGAATATGCGAGTCTATTGTATCTGTTTCTTCCTATGTTGTGTAGCCTTCCATTGATGTTTGTTAGTATTTGTTAAGTTGCTTGTGTTGTTTAACAATGAATAAATAATAAATGCTGTGCAGATGCAAAGAGGTTGATTGGTAGGAGGTTCGCAGATGCATCTGTGCAGGGTGACATTAAGTTGTGGCCTTTCAAGGTCATTCCTGGTCCAGGTGATAAACCCATGATTGTTGTCAACTACAAGGGCGAGGACAAGCAGTTTGCAGCTGAGGAAATTTCTTCCATGGTTCTCATCAAAATGCGTGAGATTGCAGAGGCGTTCCTTGGTTCCACTGTGAAAAATGCTGTGGTCACTGTCCCTGCCTACTTCAATGATTCTCAACGTCAGGCAACAAAGGATGCTGGTGTAATTGCTGGTCTCAATGTGATGCGTATCATCAATGAACCCACTGCCGCTGCCATTGCTTATGGTCTTGACAAAAAGGCAACCAGTGTTGGCGAGAAGAATGTGTTGATCTTTGATCTCGGTGGTGGTACTTTTGATGTCTCTCTTCTCACCATTGAAGAGGGTATTTTTGAGGTGAAAGCCACTGCTGGAGATACCCATCTTGGAGGTGAAGATTTTGACAATAGAATGGTGAACCATTTTGTTCAGGAGTTCAAGAGGAAGAACAAGAAGGACATCAGTGGCAACCCCAGAGCTTTGAGGAGATTGCGGACTTCCTGTGAGAGGGCAAAGAGGACTCTCTCCTCCACTGCCCAGACCACCATTGAAATTGATTCCCTTTACGAGGGTATTGATTTCTATTCCACTATTACCCGAGCCAGATTTGAGGAACTCAACATGGATCTCTTCAGGAAGTGTATGGAACCGGTTGAGAAGTGTTTGAGGGACTCTAAGATGGACAAGAGTAGTGTTGATGATGTTGTTCTTGTTGGTGGATCCACTAGAATTCCCAAAGTTCAGCAGCTTTTGCAGGACTTCTTCAACGGGAAGGAGCTTTGCAAGAGCATCAACCCTGATGAGGCTGTGGCTTATGGTGCTGCTGTCCAAGCTGCTATTTTGAGCGGTGAGGGTAATGAGAAGGTCCAGGACCTCTTGTTGTTGGATGTCACACCTCTCTCTCTTGGTTTGGAAACTGCTGGTGGTGTAATGACTGTGTTGATTCCTAGGAACACCACGATCCCGACAAAGAAAGAGCAAGTCTTCTCCACATACTCAGACAACCAGCCTGGTGTGTTAATTCAGGTCTATGAAGGTGAGAGAACAAGGACCAGGGACAACAACTTGCTGGGAAAATTTGAACTCTCTGGCATTCCTCCAGCTCCTAGGGGTGTTCCTCAGATCACAGTGTGCTTTGACATAGATGCCAATGGCATCCTCAATGTATCTGCCGAGGACAAGACCACAGGGCAGAAGAACAAGATTACCATCACTAATGACAAGGGTAGGCTCTCTAAGGAGGAAATCGAGAAGATGGTTCAAGAAGCAGAGAAATACAAGTCTGAGGATGAAGAGCACAAGAAGAAGATTGAGGCAAAGAATGCACTGGAGAACTATGCATACAACATGAGGAATACAGTCAAGGACGAGAAGATTAGTGCCAAACTTTCTGCAGATGATAAGAAGAAAATTGAAGATGCGATTGAGCAGTCGATCCAGTGGCTGGAGGGTAACCAGCTTGCTGAGCCAGACGAGTTTGAGGATAAGATGAAGGAACTTGAGAGCATCTGTAACCCTATCATTGCAAAGATGTACCAGGGTGCAGGTGATGGCATGGGTGGTGGTGCCATGGACGATGACGAAGATGTTCCTACTGCCGGTGGAAGTGGTGCTGGTCCTAAGATCGAGGAGGTTGACTAAGATCGTGGTTTCCTTGTCTGTGGTTTATTTATTGTCTCTTTGAATATTTTGAAATTTATTTTTATGATCTGTACTAGAATTGCTACATTTGAGGCTTTGAACGTTTTAATGGTAATTTTGTTAGAGGCCAGCTGGAATGTTTTAGATTTCTTGTCTTGATTTGGCATTTCTTGGCTAAAATTATTAGTCTCTTCTTCTCATCCAGTACTCTCTCATCGGATTTCATGGCCGATATACTGAGTTTTCCGAGTACACCATATCCAGTGCTTTTTCATCCCCAACTTTCTTTCCACAAATAATTTCCAATTTCATAGTGAGCAATGGGGAAATTATTTAATATTTTTGGAATATTATGTGTTTTTATGTTTTAATCAATTATCATTTAGCATGTTTTTATCATGTTCTTAACTCCTTAACACAATATTTTATTTTTTCATCTATATTTAATGAAAAAAAGTTAGGGATCATGAAATTTTTTTTATGAAAATGATCATAAAAGAGTTATGATCCTTAGATTACCTTGACTAGTATGTGGTGTTTTATTCTGAGTATAATTCAAGGGTTACAAAATTTTTATGATTATTTTTATGAAATATTTTTCATGATACTTAGCATTATTGAAGTGATGTGGTAGAGAGGTGATATGATGTGGTAGAGAGATGATGTGATTTAAATAAGATGATGTGACTTAAATAGCGTAGTGACTTTTTAACTTTTTTAGGACACCCCAAACAAGGACTTAATATCATTCAATATGTCTCTTCATATTTTTAATCACTTAACATAATACTTTACTTATCCACCCATTATAATACTACACTCAACACAATACCTTTCTATCTTCGCCCATCATAATATAATAGAATATCATATGTCCATGTTTCGAAATTACTGAACAATTAATTTTGACGCTCCTGAATTTGTGTTAATTCACTGATCATTTGATTTTTCTTTCGGCTGGTCATCTAAGAACAAGGATTTACAGTTGCGATTAACAAATGTGACAACGGCAGTTGATAAAGAGTTGCACTAGTTGTTTGGACGATTAACACAATAACCCACTATCTTCACCCATCATAATATAATAAAATATCAAATGTCCATGTTTTAAAATTAATAAACAATTAATTTTGACGCTCTTGAATTTGTGTTAACTGACTGATCATTTGATTTTTTTTTCGGCTAGTCATCTGGGAACAAGGATTACAGTTGCGATTAACAAAGGTGACAGCTGCAATTGATAGGAGTTGCATTAGTTGTCTAGACAATCATTGAGTTTACGAAATTCATCGCCAGATTATAAAATTTCGGCGATTTGAACAAATTTAAGTTCGGTATATCAATTTATATGTTTGTTTTCAATTTTTTAATAACATTTTTTTAAAAAAATTCTACTTTCTTATTTTTCGTATTTTTTGTTTTTACTGAATTTTTTTTATATTTTAAACAATTTTTAAAATTTTTAGACACAGCTAACATAAATACACTTAAAAAGTATAATTTTCATGAAAAAAATCTTTAAAAAATTCATTAAATACCAAAAATATAAAATAAAACATGAAAATTCAGTATATTTTTTATATTTTTATGTATTTATTAATTTTTTAAAATATTTTTTTCATAAACATTTACTTTTTGATATATCTAAGTAAGATGCATTTAAAAAAGTAAAAAAATTGTTAAAATTTTAAAAATATTTACTAAAAACAAAAAACATGAAAAACAAAATATTTATTTTTCAAAAATTGAATTCAAAAAACTGAAACCAAACACTGAATAATTTTTCTTTCATAATTGTGGATTCATCCATTAAATGGTTTGTTTAGCATGTGCAAGAGGCCAAAATAGGTACACATTAAATGGTTTGTTTAGCATGTGTTAAGCACATTATTTTATTTAGGTCATAATCATCTTATTTAAGTCACATTACTTGTTTATTATATCATTTCAAATTCAACTCATATTTCACATTTTTTTCATAAAAAGTCAAAAAGTATACTAATCTAACTTTTCTAAACAATTATTTTTTTATTCAAAAATTTTGTGTAGCTATAATTTATTTAAAATGTGATTTCGTCCCACCATTTTAGGATTAAAGCCTCGTTTAATAATATTAATATCATTTTTTAGTATGGAAGTTAAAAAGTCATTAAAAAAATAAAAAAATCAACAGTTTATATTAAAAAGTCAAAAATTTTATTTTTTCTTTATTTTTTACACATATTTTAGTAAAAAATTAAAAATTCATTCCAAATATACTTGTTTTTTTATCTCATATTTTAGTCAAAAAATTAAAAAATTATTAAAATAATCTATTTCCAAGCGAGACCTCAATCTAAATCATGTAACTTTTTTTTGTTTCTGAGTTATGCTAGGAACTCCAAATATTTTATCAAATTTTTTACCAAATCTTTCATATAAATGTAAGACTCATGCATATGTCAATTTGTGTAAATCTCACTCCATAAGAGAAATTTGGTAAAATATATAATAATATATTTGGGATGCATTTCTCTTTGTTTCCGGGGGATCGGTGCAACAAGTTAATACACACGGCGGTTATTGAGGAGCGAGATACGAGAGAGACATTAGTGTGAAGGAAATATACAATTTTATTGAAGTTGTGTGATCAAGATACTACTTTAATTTTCTTCATTTTTAAAAAACGAGTTAGATTTAAGAATTTTGTTTTCAAACAAAGTTGCCGTTTTGCAATTTAGTTGGAACTAAAAAAGTAAAAAAAAAAAAAAAAATTAATGGTAATGCTACGTCGCTCGAAAATGGCCCCCCTGAATCCCCCTAAAAGGCAAAAACAACGTCGTTTTTGCCTTTTTTTTTTTTTCCAGATGCAGAAATCAGAAGAAGGAGAAGAGGAGGAGGAGGGGAAGGAGGAAGGAGGAGGAGGAGGAGGATTGGAGGGGGCCCTAATCACAGGGGGAGGAAGAGGCGGAGGCAGGGCCGGAGGCGGAGACGGCGGTCAGAGCTGGAGCTGCTGCTGCTGCTGCGACGAGTTGGCGGTGAGGCGACGACGGCGGGCAGCGAGGCTCACAGCCCTCTTCTTCCTCTCTCTCTCTCTCTCTCACTCGCCTCTGTGATTTCGGGAGATTCGGGGGAAAAAATTAGGGGGACAAATCGTTATCCTAAAATTAAATAAATCAATAAGATTAAATATCACTATAATGATTTTATTTTTTCTCTTACAACCATTACATCTAAACAAAAAAAAATTCAAAATTTCTTTTCAAAAGAAGCCAATTTAGTTAGGTTAAATTAGCCAAAAAGTATGACTAAATTAGTTCTTCTCAAACAAAGAGTTTGGTTAAAGAAAACTCATTATTGATGTTCTTCACATTACACTCTATTTAGAGAAATTTTTATATGTTAATAGATATCATGTGACATTATTTTCTATCAATCACAAATATATGTCATTTATTTTTTTTCAAACACTCAACATAAATATAATAGATCTTACTGTCAAATTCAATAATAATAAAAATACCACATCCCATCTATGTTCTTGGCATACAAAAATTTCTCATTTGTTTGGGTGTGGGTCTACATTCATCACTTTCAACATCGACAATCATTTTAACAAAGGCCTTAAACACCCACACACCCCCATTAACAAAGGGGCCCTAAATTATTTTAACCCAACTTCAACAAGAGAGACTAGTTAGGTTTCCATCACTCTCCACATGTCAATTATTCTGGTGAAACAAACCCACACACCCACACCATCCATATGCTTAAGAGCTAAGAAAGCAAACCAAGAAAAGAAAGCGAAATTAGAGAAAAGAAAAGAATGAATGTGAAGGTCATATCCAATTATACTCGTTACAAATGTGAGTGAACAAGACACTAACCTTTGACTATTATTACCGCGAGAATTCCTTATTGGGAAGTGATTTTTGGGGGTTTTTTTTTTTTTAGCTAAAATAGTCATAAAAAATAAAATAGGCTTTTTAGCTCAATAAGACAAAACATTACATCCAAATCATAATGATTACATTATTTCTCTGACAAAAAAATTAAAAAAGAAAAAAAAGCCAAATGTACTCTTCCTAAGCCAAGCTTTTTAACTCCAGGTTAAAATAATCAAAAAAATCAAGAAGTTAAAAAGTCAACCCAATTTCCAAATAAAGCCATAATATCTTTAATGGACTCTCTAATTTACATATTAAAGTATGACCAAAAGTTTAAAAAAATGAAATTTTATTTTTTGTATTAATGTGTTTGGTAGTTTACTCAGTGCATGTGTCACAATAGTATTCCTAAACAAATGAATAATTTTTCAAAAAATATTTAAAATCTCTAAAACATCACTATTAAATTTACTCTCTAATAAACGTGAACGGTTTCCTATCAATTAATATTAATTTATTTAAAAATGAATAATACTATATGTATTAATTAATGTACTAATTAGTATACTAACAGATGATGTGACATAATTTAAAATTTTTTGAATATTTGTAATTTGTATAATAAGGGGGATCAATAATAATGTCACAACACTAGTTAATACACTAGTGTTTATATTAATTAGTGTATGTATCACCACCTTTTAAAAATCAACTAATACTTAAACTCCTATCAAGTCAATGTAAATAAATTTAAAATTACTATTTAAACTTCTATCAAGTCAATGTAAATAAATTTAAAATTACTATTTTAAAAATCTCTACCATTACTATAATCTTTCCTCCAAACCCATATTCACTTCCATGCAAAACACATACACATTTTGAGTAGGACTCCACAACAACATAACCAGATTCTCTCAGATCCTTTCCAGTCAAAAACATCAATATACAGTGTGTTTCTTCAATTATGTTCCCATTTCCTAAAGTGGCACACTATCGTTGGCTCCAGTAATGTGACTATGTGCTCCCCATCATATATATATATATATATAGAGAGAGAGAGAGATCATATAAACCCAAAATGGAAGGAATCAAAATTCAATTTTGATCAAACTCTGTTTTCACTCTCACCATGAAAGTTTTTTGAACCCAATCTCTCTCTTCACATATAGTTGTATATCCATGAAGCTTTGTTCTTTATGCTATGAACCTAAAAAAAAATCATCTTCATTTATCCTTCAAATTCAAATCCAAACCCAAAATCCTTTGTTTTCTTCTTCTCTCTTTCACTCATCATTGATGCACATAAATAGCTATACATATGTATATATATATAGAGAGAGAGAGAGAGAGAAGATGAGAGGCAATTTGCAGAAAAAAAGTATCATACAAATCCAAACGTGTTTGTAAATCTTCACCAAACCCAGAAATTCCAACAAACTCTACATCCTCACACTACTCCCTCCACCACTGCCATGAAAGAACCCAATAGAGACGGATGAAAGGAGGGCTCCGGTGGCGGAGAGGAAGCTACCAGTTTTTGGGATTCGACAGCTCCGGTGTCGATTTGATAAAGACGAAGCTGTTTGAAAGAGAGAGAAAGAGAGAGAGAGAGGGATTTGAGGCAGAGTCTGTGTTTGAGAGGAGGAAGAGAGGAGAGCGATTTCAGAGACATTGGGTCGGATAGAGAGAGATAGAGAGGAGAGACAAAGGGTTCATGCGCATGAGTCCAAAATGGAGTGAGAGGGTGCCAACACATTCGGGCGATTCGAGGGTTACAAATTCGAGCTACAAATCATTTGTGTTAAGTATTTTAGAAAGAAAAATGTTTGAGACCTTTAAATTAGCTCCCTAATCGTGGCATCATGGGTGTCAACTTTTTATTTGTCACGCAACTCAAATCATATATGCCCCACTCCTTCATATATGCCCCACTCCTTGACACATAATTGTGGCTGCATTTGTGGGTTTAAAATTGTACGTCTCTAGCATTTCTCTTTTATAAATCTTTTACATATTATAGGATCATTATTATTTTTTAATGTATTTTATAAATTATAAATGACTCTTTACAATTCTTGATTTAACAACTAAGGTTCCCATAATTAAACATATTTTTTTTTGGTGCGATACCACATCAATTTAATAATTTGCTTTCTATAACTATGAATATTCAAGATAAATGTGACCAAATGGTTTTATGCACGATGAAAAAAAACAGACCAAGGTCCTAATTGATGGGTATATAATGAGTACCAGGAAAAGCAACACTGGTATCTTGGGCACCAGACCATACTGGACAAGGCAAACCAAAAACCCAGTTCAAATCTCAACAAACATGCATCAAATTTAAGTAGCAACCAATAAGCCCCCACAGTTAATCAGATTAGGGCTTAGAAAATAAAAAATAAAAAAAATCGACGACCCTAATTGATGGGTATGACATTAAACCAATCAGTAAAAAGGACAAGGGCAAACCCAAAACCCAGTTCAAATTTCAACGAAGATGCATCAAATCAATCAGATTAGGGCTTGGACTGAGCGTTTTCACGCACAGTTTGAAGTAGATAAACCAAACAGAAGGGTACTTAAAAATGGAGATTGAATGAGAATAATTACCTGAACGGAGCTAGAGGTGGAGAGATAGCGGAGGAGTGAGAGAAATTGTAACGAATAGTAGCGTGCTAGCGACGACGGGTCGGCTAGAGAATAACTCGAACTCGTCTCTGCGATTGGGAAATGGAAATATATAAACCCTAGGGGAACCAACGGGTTGCTTATTCGGGGACGGGTCGAACTCGAACTCGGCTCGCCCATGGATGGCAACGGCTTAGGATATGGGTCGGGCCTCTATCCCTACCCCACCCCCATTTCTGTTGCTTGGCCTCACTTCCGACCCGAACTCATTAAATTCTTCACCACCCCTCTAAAGTGAAAAATGTAGGGTATGTTTGGTTTGGGTTTGTAGGGTGATTTTGGAAAAAAAAATTTAAAAAACTTGTTTGGTTTGTAATTTTTTCAAAACAATTTTTAAAATCACTTTTTCTCTCTTACACATCAATCAATCGCTTTTTCTCTCTCTTCTCTCATTCTCAATCACTTTTTGTCTCTCACATATCTACTCAATTATAACAAAATATCAAATTACTCCAAACTCCCAAACTCAAAAACTACTTTTAAAATACACAATCAAACAAATCAAAAAAATTTCTAAATTCTCTCCTTAAAATAATTTTAAAAAACTACTCTTTTAAAATCAAACCAAACATACCGGTAATCTTCACTCCCCATCTAGTTACACAACTGCTTTATAACTTTTCTCAAAAAAAATACTTGGGAGGAAGTCAATTTCCTCAAGTGGACTAGTTTATAATACAGATTCTCAAGCTTCAACCTCATATCCTCAGTATCCTGCACCTAAATCAAAACATCTTATCACAGATCCAAGTACAATAGATCAATTTAAAAGTCACCACCATCCATTATCAATTTAGAATATAATCAAGTAATATTTCAGTCCCATCCCCTGTCATTTGTGTTTTAACTTACAAAAGCAAGTATTTAGGGATTACAAACAGTCTAATAATGGACCAATAACAAGTTACACCACACAAGTAAGAAATGAATACTGAACAAATCTCTAAGAACCATTACCCTCATAACCTCGTGCCTTATCCCTGAAATTTCTTTATTGAATATTTATCAGGTGCAAAACAATCTCAGGATCAAGAATCTTGGGGGGTTTCAAACCTAGTAGGAGTGTCAATGCCCATCATGCAGCAAAGGCCTGATATTAAAATTATAAGCAAAACAATCCCCTGAACATCACAAGAAGAAACAATATCAGAATGAAGTGCATTTCATAAATGCCATTAGATAAAACCACAAAATAAAGATACAGAAGGATTGCTTCTGGGCTATGCATTTGGATGGCAAGAATCTTTAACGAAAATGGAAATCTCATTATTAGGAATTGCATTACCACTACCAGTAATAAAATTCTTGTGTCAATATTCAAGCGTTGGTTTCATTAGGAAATATGTATGAAAAAATGATAAAATTTTAAAATTTGGTAGGCCCAACTATAGTTTTTACTCTTGGAGCACAAAACATTCCTCCAACAATCTTAGATTCTCAAGGGAGAGTGGGAAAATCAGATTCCTACCTAGTTTGGGAATGTGATTCTAGCTTGAATAGGTTCTCAATAAATCATATTTTTATTCCAATCCATTCCAAACTGAAATCATGGGTAGTACAAATCACATTCCATTCTTACTCAAGATTCCTGTCATCCAAACTGAGCAAGACACAATCCCTGTGTTTCACACTCATCCGTAGTTAAACGTGGATTTCACCAAAAGGAAAAGATAGCGAGTGACTTACAACTAAGAGTCCTTCCAAAAGTGATGATTTTATCTCGCAAACTCCATCACAAACCCTCGAATCGACTGCTTCATTTCCCGGGCTACTTTCTGCAAGAAACCTTTCTAGCTCCCGAAAAGAAGGATACTGAATTGACCTAACTGGATCTGAAACATAGAGAACCGTATATCTTGCCCCAGACTGCTCCACAGAATTGATAAGCTCGGAGAAAATCTGCCCTGCATGTTTGACCAAACTTTTTTTTATAAATATTCCAGCTAAAATGACATGTTAAAGGACTATAAAACTAAATTATCTTCAATGCCTGCATGAGATATTGTGTCAACATACTTTCAGAATGTGAGCTTCCTTGGCAGGCCACAACCAGATCTGCCTGCCCCTTCGGTCTGTTTTCCATCCTTGAAACTAGATAGTCCTGCTCATATTTCATTGTGAGAAAACAGCATTAAACCTTTCCCATACACCTGCTATATTTTTTAATGAATTTCATAAAATTACTGATTATATACTAGATAGTTACATTGACTGTGTGCAAGTCTGCAAGTTTTTCATAATTTCCTCCCTCTAAAGAACAGGACTCCAGGAAAGCAACTTTACTGGCACCAAAATTATGCCCACAAGTTTCTGTAAACTCTGAAATCAACATACTTTCCATCACCTCTTCATTCTCTGAAGCAGCAATATAGGGGAATGCCAATGAAAAATTGGCCCTTGTAAAAGAGACCTGCTCATCAAGATGAAGTTGTAACCATGAGGCACAAGTTGGAGGCAATTTTTAGTGTTGGAAACCTGACTCATTATCACTAATGGAGGAACTAGTTCAGCACAGTCAAGATGGGTTACCTTGAGAAAGTCCACAAGTTCTGAGTCTGCATGTTTGGCTCCAAAAATATCCGACGATTGTAACTATGGATGA